TAACCTTGAGGCATCATTCCTCAACCTCCATTTTTTATGAGTATTTTATGATGGTGGCCCTTAAGACCTAGCTGTTTATGTGAGTGGTTTTACATGATTTCACATTACAATCTCTAAACCAATTTTAATATTTCTTACGTGCATATGTGGTGTGCGCATATACCTTCGATGATTAAATAATGCCTTGTTTCTTGCTTGAGCGTTTTGGACATTTGATAAACAATCCTCTTACGAACATCCATTGGCCTTTTTTTGCTCTATGTTTAGCTACTTTAAATAAATATTTACAAAGAAGTTTCATTAACAATTTTCTGTTGCGGGTCATTGTAAGGTCGCAGCTGCTACTCAAAAGTTATTGACTAAGACAAACGTTACTATCAATGTTAATGTTATAAAGATTGCTTCTTTTTTGTTTTCATTAAATTCATTAAATGTGCAAAATCTTCTGGTGAATTTGTTTGGCAGACAGCCTTCTTTGATCTCTACTGACATATTATTTTACAGTAATTTTCCTAATGCGAATCTCAGGCGACTTTGATGTTTGTTATGCATCATGTTTTCCATGGATTCTGAAGCATCGCGTCCTTTTTTGACCAACAGATACCTTGAGAAGATAGAGCTTAAATGCCTAGAACTGCCACGTAACTTGATTTTCTGACTTATCTTGCAACATACGTGTGTGACAAATAAAAAATTTAGAGAAAATTCTTATATTGCATTTCCATGTTAAGACTCTTCTCAGAAGACCGAAGTGAAGTTCTACGGTGGGACAGAAATGGTGACAATTTGTATTGGATATAAGAGGTGGTGGAAAATAGGCACAAAAATTATTAAATTTTTACTTTTCGTCTCTACGCCTACCAGCATTTTAGACTGATAACTGATGTAGCTCCTAATCATCGCCAAGCTCAAATCTATTCATTCACGTTAAGCAGGCTTTTATCTGGCACTAATCTAATGAATTTAACCATTGCAAATCCCGATCGTGCTAATTAAGTGAATACTACTGACAGTATTACCAGAACGTGGTTTTAGCAGAAATATATAGCAACCCATTCTTTAGTGATTTGTTTCGATACGTTTATAGCGGACTAACAGCGATCTCGCCTGAGTGAACCCTATTTATTGACCTGACGGTGACAAAGACTCATCCCCTTTTCATTAGCTACTGCCATCAGAAGCCTGTCATCCGTTCATTCATCCACACGCTTGGCTGGCGTGACGCTGGTAAACGGTCGTGTTCTCTGTCGCCTCTCTTTACTCCATTTTCGGGTTGTTACTGGCTGTTAACTAGAGGGTTGTAAGGTAATTCCAAAAACCAAACTGCGACACGTTATCTATTTTCATAAAGAGGATAAATCATTTTGTCAAGCTTACCCAGGACTTGTCATTGACTTTGTCGATGCTCACTAAAATTGCATTTAAAAAATCGTTATTGCTGCAAACTAATAATCCATTACCAACAAATGTCAACACCATCACATAATACAATAGCTTAGATTTATTAAAATATGGAAAAATATAATCATCTGTATAAATAATAAAAATTGTAATCTGATGCATTAATACGATTTGTAAAGATAAGCATTCCCAATTACTCCAAGAAAACATTTGTGGGAAAAAACTTAGTGGGCGTTTGCGCGAAATTGAATGGATGAGACAAAATTTTGAGATGGACATTATTTATAAGTCTGTATGTCAACCTACAAGACACAAATGAGAAATAATGGCTAGGACCACCACGACGCCCTCATACCTAACATTAGGAATCCAGTAGGAGAAGAGGATTTGATAAAAATAGGCGTTTAGTCCGTGACTTGAAACTCAAGGAGTAAATATTGTAATCTCTATTTAGCCGGAAATACTAAATATTACTTTCAATTAACAAGCAAATGGTTTGTGGCAAGGCAAAGTCATGTGGCTTAGGCATAGTATTAACAAGCTAAAAAGATTTATAACTTGAGAAGGTTGCTTTTTGAGATTTGCAAACATTGAAATCGATCTACCCTAGTACCAACGAGAGTTGTGTGGCCAAAATTGACGATAATCCTCTAACACCTATGGTGTCGAGAAAGTAAATAGAAACACTCTCACAAGACGTTCTACTTCGACTTGTGAACTTTATAGGTGTTATTGCCCTGTGACAATACTTACTCAGATAAAATGCTGTCGCTATTTAGTTTATTTTCCTCGAATGTAGCACGTCGTTACAGAAACATTTTACCCAACTACCCACCCCCCCACGATTGTCCTGTCCCTCCATCTCTTGCAACTTCCCCAACTACCTTACTCCTTCCTTAAGGTCTTAATCTCCGTCCTGCCTCCTTTCTTTGGTGGGCCTGTTTGTTTCGTGCCTGCCTTTGGTGTGTCAGTAACCAGTGAGCTTGTCGACACCATGTCTGTGTTCGGAGTGTCTGTGATTGACAAGTCTATCCTCGATGTCTCTGTCCTCGGTGTGCATCTTTAATGTGCTTGCATTCAGCGAGTCTCTGTCTTTAGTTAGTGTGTCTGTCCATGGCGCGTATGTTTTTGGTATTTCTGTCTTTGGTGGTTTTTATTCTGCGTTTCAATTGGCTGTGTTTCTGTGTTCTGCTTGTCTCTCACTGCTATCTCTTTTTTGTGTGTCTACCTCAGGTATGTGTATTCAACGCGCCTGGCTTTAATATGCGTCTGCCTAAAGTGTCTGTCTTCAGTGAGTTTGTGTTTAGGTCCACATGTCTTTCAATCTCCTTGTCCTTCTGTCTGTACGTCTTTCCATCCGTCTGTATTTTTGTCTGCTAGACATTATCGTTCAAGCCTCACGGAAGTAGATAATGAGACGCCTCACTTTTAGATGTTCGCTGGGGCCAGCTAACTGTCAACAGAGTTCTGGGAAAGTTGACATGGAGGCAATAAGAACTGATCGAATCTGGTTGCTTCTAACGAGCTATTGAGTTGCAGCTAATTGAGCTCGCTGGTAACTATCTGGTAAGATTTGTCTTATCTGACCAGCCAACGACTGAATTGTTGGCTGCAAGGATTACAAAGTCAGAGTTAGGAATTCAATGAATCACGAAGCATCAGGGAAGAATAAGAAAATCGAAAAAACTGGATGTTTGGCTTCCATTTACATAGCCACAAAATCCAGTTGTTGGTTAAGGAGAAAAATCATTGCGTGAATGTGAATTGTTCATACGACAGACGTGCACACCATTAAGCCTAATTCAGTACGTGTAACGAATATTGGCACTCAGGGGCAGTCTCACGTGGGCGTGTTGATAACCAACGTCTGTCGATGTAAACTGCGTCACCATGAGCTACAAAAACAGTCACTTATAAAAAACAGTCATTTACCTGCATGAACTAGGTAGATCATCTGAGCATGTTGTGGAGTATTTCCTTTTTTACTTAGCTCTTCTGCATTGAGACTAGGTTAATGGCGCTTCACAAGTTAAGTACATCTGCTTCTGCACCCGCATACTTCAGTAAAGAAATCCCAATGATTTGAATCCACGTAAATTACACTGTTCCTCCAATCGACCGTGTAGTTTACTTGAGGGCAGATGACACGTTCTGATGACCCTTTGTTAGTTCACTCAACATGCTTTGACTCGTTGCCTTTGTGAAGGAACTAAGCATGAGTTTTGATGCATTGTTTTCGAAGTTGCCTCATAAAATGACATGTGGAGACTTCAAGCCTTTACCAAATGGTAGTTTTAAGGAATCCATGGTACAAGGTTACATTAAAATCTATCCAGTGGCTTTTAAACTATACTTCCATTCTGCAAGTTCCTTAAAAACATCTAGCATTTTTTAGAAAAATTAGCCCTTCACATGACGAGGTTTATGATGGAAAAACCTGGTTTGTCATTATTTTCGCCAAGCGCAAGGCTCGGTTTCTGCTGAATGAAGGCGTAATCTGGTAAACTTGCGTGTCTGTTACCATATACATGAATCACTCCAGGGTAACTGTGTTTTCGTGGCACCTACTTTATCTTTCGACTTTATGTACGCAGTTATATGTGCAGAGTAACTCTACATGGTAGGCGTGGGTTTTAAACGTCAATTAGTTTGGAATAAACTTGCAAAGTCGGGTACCTACTCACCACTAAAATGTCAGAATCGGTTTATCCAACATTTCACTAGAGAGTCAAAAGTACAAAGGCTGGTTAGATTTTGGGACTGATGACGATTCCTCCATCTGATAATTGAATTTTCACTCCTTACTTATCGCATGCACCAGAAGCGCTTTGTTAGTATTCGTCCCCTACTTTTTTTTCTCTGTAAGTATTTCAACCAAGACGACAAACTTTTTTTCAAATTGACGAAGGAAATTTCTGCATTTACCAGAACCCAGAAATTGGTATACTTAAGTTTGACAAGCCAGCACGTGATTAGATTTGAGCCAAGGCCGTTTCTTAGATCTGATGCGTTTGGACTATCCAATTTAGCAAGTATTAAGACATCTTGACATTGTTGTGGGTCGCGCTAATTCACAACCGTCGAAAATTACATCTTATATGCAAACACCTCACAACTTTTTCTCATGGTCCTTAGCATGCAACTGCATTTACATTTTAGCACATCCTTCCTCCGTCACGCTTCAAGAGCATTTTCTTCATCTGCTGTGCATCCACTTGCTTGTCTAAATTCCATTGGTTCATATCCTCAATCACTTTTGCCTCTCCCATCCACTGCTTATTACGCACAAGGTACAATAAGCACAACAAAACATGAGTGTAGGCTGGTTTCAACATCGCTTTTCAACTACAATGTCATTTATTGTGATCTAAAGTATTTGCCCACGGGAATTAGAAATAGTCACAGTTGTTTGGAGGTTAACACAACCCTTTTGGGTGAAGAGTGATTGGTTGTGCGATATACTGTTCCATTTTAGTCACAAGCAACTACCTCCCAGACATAATTATTTGATTTCGTTTTATTATCTAATTCACAAACGGTAGGGATTTTGCAATTTGAATGCCCGTGGGCTCAGTACAGTCGACTTTTTAATATTCCCATTGTTATCTGAATTTAGAGCCTAAATTGACACAGATTTAAGCAGGAAAACCGCGAGCGACTTCTCACATAACCCAAAGGTTTGTGTTCTCCCTGTGGCATTAACAATACTGCTGCTCACGCGAAGAAAACAATGTAATTTATTAACGAACGTGAGAATTCTCGAACAAATTCTGATTATTTCGACATTGGTTGATTCAGTGCTGTTTCAAGCATCAGCAGCACCAGTGGATCAACCAAAACACACTTAGTCATCGAATCAAATTGATACCATCGGCGTTTCTGGTAATTTTCCATGGGACTTTGGAAAGTTCTGGCGAACGGCATAGATGATTGGTGGAAATGGGTGTTTAAGAAGCATCATATATTTACCACAAAGCACCCGCACTAAGCTGCACTCAACATGGCATTTCAAAATCATGGACTAACAAAATTGGGATTGATCGCTTTTGGAACCAGTATCCTGTATTTTCTCATTTCCAGACACACGAGGTACGTGATAAGCATAACGTTCATTATTGCCAGATGTGAGGAATCAACAGCGAAAGCCAAGATAATTCGACTCTCCAATAAAATATTGCACTCGCATAACGACCCAAGAGTGGACATTATTCGTCATGCTCAAGGGGATACGTTTATGACACTGCAACTTGACCAAACCGAATTCATACGGGCCCCTGCCAAGTGGTGCGGCGGAAATGACACTCAGGGGACATTCAACATCAGCAGCACACTTCGGACTTGCTTTCCCGAAATTGTCATTTCTGACAATCTGACTGTCAAGAAATCGCTGCGACTGATGCGAGACACACTCGCATTGTCAGGGATTAGGTATGCAATGACCTTCGGTTCCTTCTTGGGCTCCCTGCGGTATCACGGCAGAATGCCCTTCGATTGTGACTTCGACTTGCTAGTTCATTGGAAGGACCACAAACGTGCCCTTCAAGCACTCCTCCAATTGGCATCAGATCCCACGAGCCAAATGCGGGTCATCGATTTGACACCGGCAGGTGCAAACGCGAAGGTGGGACTTGCCTGTGGCCGCAGCACATTATGGATGAATCCCGACAACTGGACGGAGTTTGGATCGAGTGTCACTTTTGACAACGGCATTCCAACAGGTTACAGCTGGAAGCCCTTCCTCAAAATGACCAAGTCATGTGAGATCTACGTGGACATTTACGCAAATGCACATGACTACTTTGTTCTTGGCAGATCCTCCGAGCCTCAGCCTATCTATCGACCGTTGGAAGGAACGCTTTTCCGTATATTTGAGGGTGCACGTGGATTTCTTGAGGACCACTATGGTGTGAGCCTTGACATGTGCATGCCGAAGACCCCACTAATGGTACGTGGTCAATTTAAACACTTGCCACGCAACTGCCCCCAGTTGATGGTGGCATGCACCACTTTGGATGCATTATATCCAAGAGTGTTTAAGTTCGAAGTTGCAAATCCTCCTGCCCTATATGAGGTTGGCTTGAAACTGGACAAGGAAGGAAAATGTTGGATCCACTCGGTTTTTCTTATTCGCTCTTAGACACTATTCTGGCCGTGTACTTACACTACACATACTTGATGGGAATTACATATAGATATTGTTTTATTACACACAGGTGGATTGAGCAAATGAGCTGAGATTATCTTCGCAGTGGTGAATATTCTGTTTTCAAGGTAATCCCTCTGAGTACTTGACTTCCCACATGTCGTCATCGAACCCTCGGTAAAGGTGTACTGCTTTAGTTTCGGTGACGAGTTTATGACTAATCACACATTAACATTGTGCGTTTGTGATATGAAATATTCTTGTGTTATAAAATCGTCCGATAAAATATGTCAGACTAGAAATATCTGTTATTCTCGAGAAATAATTGCCTTGCACACGCAGAATCGAAGCGTAAGAAATAACGTTTCGACGGTTGATGCGGTACACGGCAGACGATGGATGTTATTAGCAGGTTGGATTAAAATCTGCTTCACTCGAGTCAATGGTATTTTATGAGGTGTAAAAGGCGATGAGAGTTTAAAAAAGACGAACTAACGTCCTTTGAACCTAGTTTGAAAAATTTTCCTGCCCAAATTAAAACAAATAAGATCAGGTTACATTGCTTACGGACGTATTTTATGCAGTATGTTGGGGCGATTCCAGTTCACGTTTGGACCTAGGTGCTAGCCTTAACGCGAGTGCGTTTTAGTGAAGCCATGAAAGCTAATGAGTTTTCCAAATCGTAAACAGCTTATACACCACGGTAACAAGCAACAGATCTTGTTAAAATAAATTCAATGAAGTCACCACATCGCGCATGTTTACGAAGTGCCTAGTTTAACGCAAACGAGCCTTCCCATAAATTCCTTTGAAACAAACACTGACTTGATTTACACCCTGCATTTTTACCAATTCGAAACAATAAAAATTAAAGCCAAACACATGTTATTTTGGACAAATAATCGAGCACAATGCCTCTTGTGGTCTGACGCCTCGAATTGGTTTCAGTTATGTGTGTGAGATACCGTGATTATGATAGCTTGTAGCGGATTAACAGCGATCGCGCCTGAGTGAACCCTGGTTACCGACCCGACGGTGACAATGACACATCCCCTTTTTATTGGTTACTGTTATCAGACGCCTGTCATCCGTTCACTCGTCCACACACTAAGGCACTCTAATAAACGGGCGTGTCCTCTGTCGCCTCTTGTCACTCCATTCTCAAGTTGTTACGGGTTGTTAACTAGAGAGTTGTAAGGTAGTGCTTAGACCACAAGCCACTACAAGCTTTCCTCAATTCACTAAATTATTTTTGAAAAAAAAACAACGTTGTTTATGACTTCATTGTGCAAGGTCAAATGCAGACAATAGTCGAACAGAGAGGCGTCAAATGACGTGAATACAATTATTATTTCCACAAATATTGTTTGCGCCTTATAAGGATAGTTTGTGCCCGTGCTTAGTTAAAAAAAACCAGGTTGTCAGGCCATTGTTAAACATTTGCAAGTGCAATCCGTCACACCAAGGTGGCTAATGCGGGCCTAGAAAATTGGGATCGAATATACATGAAGTCCGTCAGTCAACGAACGCTGCTTCTACATTGAATCAATAATTGTGATTAAACGTCGGCAATTCCTCAAATTTTAAAATGACTAAAATTAAATGGCTTCCCCAAAATCCTTTTTTTGCGTCACGTTTTTCGTGTTAGCGTCTTTGCGTACAAATGAAACCAATAAAAAAACCATTTTGCCTGTTTGCAATGCTGACATTAATCACATACTTTGGGCCCAAATTCGACAGCAAAGACACGACAAAAAGGGTTTATCAGCAGATGTCAAATAATTGTGACAACTTGTAAATTTTCAGTTTAAATCCTCATTTGATTCGCACGATTAGCTGGTACCTTGCTACTACGCCCAAGCAAACACAAAACACCCATTGTTTTGATTTTGCTAGCATAAATTTTACTACATTAATTTCAAAAACATAAACATTAACGAACAAAGGCACGATCGCCGATTAGTTTAGCAGCAAAGGGTTTTTATTTAAATGTTCTTGAATAAAGTCTGCTAAAAAGTTACTAAAAAAGCTATACAGTTATGGAGTTATTGCTGCATTGGTCGTACTGCTAATTGTCCATATCAGGGTAGCAGTTGAAAAATTCGACAAAGAAATGCCATTTTCTCAAGAAGCAAAGGTGATCAAAATGAGGATAATTCATCTGATCAACGTAGACATAATTCACAGCAAGATAACCAAATTACGTACGTACTGCGAGATTTCGACAAGTCGGAATTCACCCAGGTTTCCAGCAGCTGGTGTCACAATAAGGCAGATCACAGGGTGAGCTTAAGCAAAACAGACCTGTACACTTGCTGCCTCGGAGCTGTTATTCTTAACTACGCAAAGATCAAAGAAAAACTCCGATTAATCTGAGACACATTCCTCAAGACTGACATCAAAGTGGTGTGATTTATGGATCTTGTGGTAGCCGAGTTTAGCACTTCCTTACAACTCTCTAGTTAACAGTTAATTTTTAATCCAAGAAGGAGAAAGAGGTGACAGAGAACTCAACCGTTTACGAGTGTCACGCCAGCGAAGTGGCTTTGAGAGCGTATCAATACGCGTGAGTAACAGGCGACTGCCAAAAGAGCAAATAACAAAGAGGGTGAGTCATTGATGCAGTCGGGCCAGCATACACTCATCATTCACGCGGGGTGCTTGTCTGTCCACTACAGTGCATTCACGAAAAATCGATTGAATCGTGTTCACTCATGAATGCTAACTGTGATCGGTTGCTGCTCACCACAACCTCTTATTGGTACCATTCGATTTCACAAGAAAATTTCATTTGGTAGTGATTTCGATTTTGTCGTTCAAGATGAACGTATGGAACGCACAGTGCAATTATCCCTCAAGCTTACATCCATTGCTGAGAATAAAATTCTCGCTTTAGACTCAGGGCCGATTACTGAATGTACTCAAATTGGACTTGGCTGCAAGTTAGATACAATGTAGTTGAAGCCTATCACCTAGAATGATTTTGAGTCTAGGTTAGAATCTCAGAGTGACATACCATATTCTGCAATGATTAGAACCTGCGCAATCTACATCGACTTACTTGAAGTGCACATATGCAGTTCTAAGGCAACTTGCCACGCACAGTTCAATATATCGACCTCCAGAAGGAACGCTTTTCGCATTTGTCTCGATGAAACCAACTTCAAGCCCTGATATGTGAGGCCAGCAAGAGGTCATGCACTAACTTATTATCTGATCAAAATCCTCCCACGTTTGATTTGAAGGACTAGCTCCTCAACAACTAAACGTGTCTCTAACTTCGCGTGTAAAATCGTTAGGATTTAAAAGTCAATGTGCTCAGCCGTGATTAGTTGGGTTTGAAACACGAACCTTTAGAACGCTGTTACGAAAATGTGGTTCTTTTTTTCAAATTGGACTTCAAATTGCGTTTACGCCAAAACACTTGTAGGATGTAATCTCAGGTTCGTGTTTAGCCAAATACTTTTTAATACACTTTAGCAAAGAAAAATGACTTAATTTATTCAGAGTTTACGAACTATCAATTTTATTTTGCAGGAAATTGAAACATACCACGAATGTTATATTGTAAATTACACCACTGTCGGGTTATGGTTATGGCAGTAATAGTGGAAACATTAAAATTATGCTTGTCATGAATAGCGTTGATTTACACTCGCTAATGCGATGACTTTAGGCTCAGACATTAGCATGTTGTTAGCCGCGCGGATCCTCAACTCTTCCCTCATTCGCATGAACATTTATCCTGGATTACTCTCACACCTAGGCCTCGATGTTAGCGCATGCACGATTCACACATATGAGGTATAAAAACACACGCGCTAATGTCACCCACGACACAACGACACCAACGTGGTTGAGGTCTGAAGTAAACGGTTGTGTCCGTCCTCTCCGGTCTTCTTCTTCATCGCGGATATCAGGCAAGCGTAATCGGGCCAGAATTAATTCCGTGGCCCCGGCGTGGTTAAAGACCACATCCTGGGGCCCACAACAAGTCATTGTCACCGAGAGGTCAGTAAACAGGTTTCGCTCTGGCGCACACACTGTTAATCCGCTACGGACCCTCATGACTAGCCATGTGCACCTTTTTAGAGAGCACATCGTCGTTTAAGAACATAACCATAACTGGCCCCATTTGAATGGTTCGACTTAGATAAGTCCCCAATCTTTCGGATTCACATGCATTCTTCAAAATTAAGAATCGTTAATTACACTTACATCTGTACACGTAACACCGCAAATGGTGGGAGAACTAGGCTAATTTTTAGGAAAATTATAAGTATCCTATAGATGCTGAATGATCATTGCCAGTTGACACCTGCATCAGGTAATTATGCAAATTGTGCATTATTCGCAGAAACTTGCTTGCTTAGCAAAAAAGTTAGTTTTCAAGCGTTTTAAAGAAAAAATTTTAATCATAAAATTGTTTTTAAAATAATTTCAGTACCCTTGATTAGCATTGGTACGTCACCATTTTACTTTAAAAGTGTCCTTAGGGTTGAGCCATATGGCATTCCCCATTAATTTCTATGTCCACTTTAATATGTAGGTAGAGATGTTATACAAATATTTAGGTAGAAATTTAGGTGTGTGGCTAAATTTTAATCATAAAATTGTTTTTCAAATAATTTCAGTACCCTTGATTAGCATTGGTACGTCACCATTATACTTTAAAAGTGTCCTTAGAGTTGAGCCATATGGCATTCCTCATTAATTTCTATGTCCACTTCAATTTGTAGGTAGAGATGTTATGCAAATATTTAGGTAGAAATTTAGGTGTGTGGCTAAATTTGCCGTGTGTTTTCAGCATAATGCACTTAATTTAAAAAAAAGAAAACAATTTACTAAATGTTGGAAATATTGCGCATCGTTTTCTATCTTATTGATTTATTTCTTAAGTTTCAAAATTGTTAAGTCATCAACAAATTTAAACGCCTCTTCCAGCTTTTTCAAGTTCTTATTCATTAAGACGTGCTGCGATGACTAAAGCAAAT